AGTCCACTGAGCGCCAGGCGTTAGAGTACACTGAATCATTGCTTCGTCAGGATTTGGTCGTGGCTGGGTTGTAGCTGACGTTGTGCTTGAAGCAGCAGTTGCGCTTGGCGATATGGACAGCGTGTACTCCGTCATGATACCGTCGTTGCCAATCACTACCAAAGAGCCACTTTTTGATGACCATACCGGATTTGATGCAAATGCGACCTATAATACATACGCATTCCTTCAGAACAAGTAAGAAATTCGACCAAGCTCGTGACAATGCTACCCAATCAGCTGAAAAAAGAACCGCTAAACGATGTTGATCAGAGGATCTGCTCGATATGTGATGCTTCATCCCAGAAGTGAGAGACGCCGGTGTGATGTCGGAAGCCCAGGCACTCAAATTATCAGTCGAGTAGAAGCGCTGCTGTAATTTGAATCGTTTATTGAAAGCCTTGCTTTGAACACACCCCGAACTGGGCCATAATATTGAAAATTTGTTTACCGCACATAAACTGAAAATTCACAATTTATTTACAAGTAAAATTAAGGCATACCTTGATTCTAACAAGCGCTTCCATGCCGATTGGACTCGGATAAGGTCCAATACGTGGATTACTGACAGAACATGTTAGTTTCCTCAACGAAACATACGGGTGTTCCCTGCAATATCAACAAAAACCGTTACAAGCTTGAAGCTTGCCCACTAACATTAAAAACTATGATACTACGGTCACACGAAAAAATCACAATTTCACACAACTTACTTGTAAACTTGTGCGCCTCCAAATTGATGGTTTCGCGATTCGACGGCCTTTTTCACCGGAACGCAATCCATCTCCGACAAACCGGCCGACCGGTGAAACCTATTTTTTCTTGAATTCAGTACTTACCCAAATTTCGAAAGTAATAAGAGAAAATGTGTGTGTACTGCTTGTCATCAGACTCCAGTGACACTAAGCATCAGTGCAGCTCCTGCACGTAACTTGTGAAAAGCTTTTTGAAAACATTCAAATGGACGTACATCAAAGGAACAGCATTTGAAGGTGATCAGAGGGTTGTAAATAGGGAATAAAGACCAAGTGGAAAAGGAGTGGTAGAAGGAAAACATCATTTGAATAATTTAGAGAAATTAAAATCGCTAACAACGGAGAAAAGAGCCCGGATGTACCACAGGAGTCACGCGAATTCCCAAAAGACTAAAAATGTGGCACTTTCATTTCTTTTTATGTTTTTTTACATTTATGCAATGCAAAAATGCATATTGTCGAGGGGCAACTGGCATGAGGATCCGATATAGGATGCACCTACACTCCCAGCATAACAATGCTAACCCCTTCGTCCTGGTATCTATATATCTCCAGCTGGTACGCAACATCTGACCGATTTACGCCTTCTGCGTCTCGGTGAACAGCCAAGCAGTTGTTTACTTCCCAACAATTGTCACCCACTGACAATATGCGATGCTCGC